GTTCTCTGTGGTGACGAGCATTGGACTCGTGGATACGCGCCGTATTGGAAATTCGTATAATAACGAGTTTAGCAACTCGAGAATCAAGAGAGAGTCCGTAATCCTTCGAATGTTATTAAGCCGAATCTGTTTCTTCATCGAGATGCATCCGCACTTCCTCGACTCGTTATTTGACTTACGCATGCGCATGCAGGTATAGTAAATACGTTCGCGCGTGATCGTTTGATACAGCCAGTCCCACGAGAGCGTGTGCACCACACATTATATAGTCCCGTGTACAGTAGGTGGTTGGATCCTTGCGGGTTTGGTAGAGGGGGAGGGACATATTGTTCATTTCGCTGTACACAGTAGATGTGTTAGTAAGGTTTCACATTTACGATGTAGAATGCGAACGTAATCCGAGAGAACAAGATATATTGGAAAGGCGTTTTTCGAAGCGGTGTTTTTGCGTTCGCAACCTGAAAGGTCCGCAACCGCAAACGTCACATAAAGAGGCTGCTAATTATATCGATCAAAATCGATATCTTTTCTGTCGTCGGTGAACGCGTCCAAATCGTTAAAATCGGAAACATCAAGTGTATAATAAATGATCAACATACCTGGAAGTGTACGATGTATTATTGCCCGTCCTGCCACATCCTCCATCCTGATTTCCGGATCTAGTATCCTATTCTACCGACTGCTCCGGATATTCCATCGTGACACTAATACTGGCACTGACACACATACACTAACACTCGCGTAATTACGACACGATCGGAGAAACGCGCGTTAACGAGCGCGATGCCAACAAGCGGCCGGAATGAAACTTTCAGGTATCTACGAGAATGAGGAAGTAACTCACTCGTACACGCGCGTCCTGGTATGCTCGGCATTCGTCGGCTCGATGCATAATGACTTGGACACGGAGAAAGTACGCAACGTACAAGAGTATCAAAACAATAGGCAAAGCCGACCCCCACCAGTCGTGTGTCGTCGCCCAGTCGATGGCGCGCGCGGCGGAGAGATCAAACACTCCCAAAACATTCCGCAAGTCCCGTATTTACCAACATATTCTTGTCATTTTTCCGCTTGAAGAGTCACGTTCCGTTACTCCACTGAATGCATATTTAAATCTCCATTGGTGCGCAGCATTGTCGCGGACACACAACTATGCTTTTTGCTCTTATAGCTCCTTCCTCTTCATCCCTCTTGAATTTTCAGATCCTATTACAAATAAAGAAAAATTGTTATTTCAACATGCCTATTCATCTCCGTTATTTATTTATATTAGTTATTTTATATTTGATTATTTCACATATTGTATCTGCAGTTAAATCTGCAGTTAAAGTTGAAAGATTAATATATTGTTTATTGAAACTAAGAATAAAAATAAAACAAAGGTTGAATATTGAGATAATCGAATATTAATGCCCCTTGATTGGCAGAAACGCAATACCGCGTTCACAAAAAGTGGCCGAAACTAGCGGGAACGTAATACTGCATTTTAATGTTTCTCTGATAATTCGATATTTCTAAAGTTGGATATTTAAAAGAGTTTCTGGGGTCGCTCTATTCAATGATGAACTTAACAATTTTACATTCAAGATAGCAGATGTAACAAGGTCGACTTAAAATTGGAAAAAAAAAACGTAAAAGCTCTACAAAAATGTTGAAATATTGAAATTTTGGAACTTTCGAGGTCGTTCTTTTCAATGGTAAATTTTTAAAATAAAGATTCGAAATGGCGTGTCCTCAAACTAATATACACGGCCAAAACAAAGTATTATTCTCATATTATATAACTTGTCATTATAAATTATATTTATCCATTACTTCGATATACACAGGGTAAACGTAGAAATGAAATTAATCGTAAAATTTCCGACACAAGCATTTCGTTTTTTTTTTCTCATAACGCCCGTATACACATATTTTGATACGAAATAACTGGAAAGCACCGATACACTCAGCCAAGTCGAAGATCCGGTTTTAAAACGGAAGTGCCGAGGTGTCGAAGGTGCTTTCGGAAAATTATGAGTTAAAGCACGATCCAATCCAAAGACCATCCGTGGAACGGGCGCAGTAACGCCCATTTCGGGAAATTCGCGGATTGCCGAAACTCCGCTGCTATCAGTCGTGTTGTTTTGTTTGTTCCCCCGAAACACGCGCAACTGGCTAACGTCCGACAAAATTGCGAATAGTTATTACAACTCGAGCACCCGCACGTCGTGTGCTTTAGTATGTCGAAGCAAATAGTACCAGCCTGTGCCAAATTTCGAATGCTTGGTCAGCTCGCATTAGTGTTTCCCGCAGTCTCGAGAAACCATGAGTCGATAGTGTGTGCTGGCCTTCGCCAGCTACGATTTTAATGCCGCTGCCCGGAATCCAACTGGAATCTCCGCGTGCGTTCGGGCGAATTCGTCACGGGGCTTTGGCGTGTTATAAAAAAAAAAAAAAAGGAATATGCGGCATGTCACATTATCTTCTGCCGTTACTTATTGTTTCCGATCGGCACATTCTCCTAGATCTACGGAAGATTAAAAAGAATACTCCAATTATAGATTAATAATCACAAAGCGCTTAGTAAGCTGCTTATTCTGCTGAATTCAGACGCGTTTTCACACGCGTAAAGGTTGATTCTCACCGTCCGACGACGGCAGACGATAATTTCGGTATATCAGCCGTCTCATATCGTCGCACGTCTCATATCGAGCAAGCGGACGCTTTTCCTCCGTTTCCCTGGTTTCAAGGCCGAGCGATCAAAATCTAATCGGCGGGAGAAACGTGCGAAGGGCCATCCATATGTATCGCCTATCTTAAACTATTTTGCATACGCCTCGTCTGAGGGACGAGAAAGGAGGGGCGACGGGAGGGGCCAGAGGAAGAGAGTCGGAATAACTTTCTTTCGCAAGACGGGAGAGGATATTCCAAAAAGAGGGAAAAGTAGCGGGGACGTAAGAATGTGCGCGGGACCGAGGAAAGACAAAATGTGTCTTTGATGTCGTTCGGCATGGCCGAACCTTTTTGCATTCTTTTGATCCTCCGCGAGGTCCTCAAAGTCTTCGCATGCAGGACAGATGAGGAATACACGCGAACTTTGGCCCCATCATTTAAAGTGGCTGAGGGGAGATATTAAAACTCGCATTGTTCGGCCATGCAGATGCGTTCCCGCGATTTTTTCGCGAAATTTCGCGCTAAGATTTTAGGTCAGTGTGATTCAAAGCCGATGTGATGCCGCTGCGTCGAGCGAATAACATTTCCGCGCGAATTCAAGATTTTTCATTAGGCGACGTTGAATTTCGACACAGTGAGACGTAAGAAAGTGATTTTACAGTTGCGCGCGTTCGCGATACTGAAAATGCGATAATTGGCATGAGACGTCATCCCCGTGTCTGTGTGTGAGTCCTGGATCGAAAATTAATTTCGCCAAAATGATATCATGATTATTGCAGTCATAATTACTACAATCGTCATACATAAATAATAGATAATTTAATCCGCACGTTAATCATGTTCGAATATCGCTCGTCGGGGAAGTTTAACAATCGGAACAAGCATTTTAATCACTGGGGTATTCATAGTTCATTCATACACTTGAAAGTACTTATTACCTTTGAAATCATTTGGAAACTTTTCGTGTCTTTCGTACAATATAAATAATTACAGCGGCTGAAAAGTGGACAAAAATAGATAATTGCGTTTCCTTAAACCTAGCACTTTTTGTATAATTAGGTCATTAAATATATACATGTATCCTCTGAGAAATCAAGCAATCTCCTTCCACATTCCCAAATATCTATTCGTGTTAACGCAACCAGACGAGTGGGCCGTAATGGACATTAACGTTTCAACGAACGAGCGAACCGATCCGACCGCGGAACGTTCGGCGAATCCAACTGCCGGATTTCCGCGACGGTGAAATTTTCGGCCGCGCACAGAAAACACACTCGGGCTAAATCGCGGGAATAGCCGCGAACTACCGCCGGTCGAACTTAATTGCGAGCATTTTATTGTTTTGCACCGCGCGAGACCCGAGATCTCGCGGGTCGTGCCCGGGCTCGCGGGCGAATGCGAATAGCGTTCAAACGTAATCTGTCTTCGTAGTGCCATTTGCCTTTGACGTTTACCACCGCGCGAAGGCCGCGCGCTGCTATTCATGACAGCGGCGGCGTTGTCGGCCGTTGATAGCCGGGGGGAGGGTTGATAACGCGCGGCCCCGTGGACACCTAGTTTCACGGGCGAGAAATAATGAAATTCGCCGTTGACGAGGCGAATGGTGATTAATGAGCCGCACACAGGTGGGAAAGTCGTGTCGCGCGCCGCCGAGGCCCCCCCCCCCCCCCCCCCCCNCCACGCGCATGTGTGCACGCCATGTCGGAAAAGTTCGGTGGCCGAGTGAGTAACGAGATCGCGGGGGCGGAAATAGGAGGCGCGGAGGGGTGCAGAGGGAACGATCGAGCTGTGCAATCGTACACGGCGGGGAAAAAGGAAGTGAAAAAGAACGGGAAAAAACGCGCGCGCGCGAACTTTATTCGCGCTTTTTCTCGAACGATTTAAAAGCGATCGCTCTTTTCGGCGGGAATTCTAATGGACTCGGGTGTTCCCTCCTTCGCATCTCCGGGCCGGAGGATCAACGACAATTTCGTCCGTCGGTTCCGGAGCGAAAATCTCAGCGAAAAGCTCGGGCGAAAATCAAAACACACCACGATGGTTGCTTGTTTATTCGCGCCAACGGAGTTTATTCGCAGCTCGTGGGAGGTCCCCCTCCCCCCTTCCTTTTCGATCGCTTACAACATCGCAAAATAACAGGAAAATCCCCTTTCCGGTCCCGCACGGTTTCGCGGAAACTTTCTTTGTCGTTTGTGAATTCTTCAACGTGATCCGGAAGTTTGAACGGATAGCTGTCTACTATTTCTTCCTCTTCTTCTTCTTCTCCGTGTTTTTTTTTTCTTAGCATCCTCTCTATTATCAATGCAACGGAAACTCGGGATATTGAATGGCTCTGTTTAATGTTTCAGCTCTTGAACGGAAACAATGAAGTGGCTCTGGATAATCGTCTTAATAGCTCTGGCTCTGCCAGCCGCTGTACCGCGAAAAATACACAGGAGCAAACCCAGTGAGTAACACTCCCCCCTCCCCCCCCCCTTCCCATTAGTAAGCACCTCGCGCGCTTATCACGGAAAAATGTTAATTCCCGAAGTAAGCCGCTTAAAAAACGATACAGAGCTTGAGAAGGCCGACCGTAGCTCGCATTCAAAGTAATCGAAATTTCCCCACGCATATCGTTTAGCCCACGGTTTTAATATTACTGCGGTACTAATATTAGTAACGTCGATAATATCTACGTGGCGGGTTTGCCCTCTATTTGTAACATCGTGACGTTATATTTAAGCGATATTTATCTAGAAATAGATGGGAAGTAATATCGATTAGGATCGTCAAGTTAGTTCATTGCTTCTTTCTTCAAGAGAAAAATAATCTTCTCGCAAGAAAGGATTTTTCACATGAAATATTATGTTTTAATAATTAGTTAATTTTTGCCGTTAGAGGTATTATATGTTTTACTGATTTTCCTACAAATTGTATATATATATATATTTATCTCAATATGGTTTGTGCGTGTATTTAAAATAACATTACTGCTTAAATAGCGAAATAATTTTGCTTAATGAATATCAAATTTATAAGTAGCCCTCTTGATGTGCAACTGAAAATACGACACTTGCCTTTTGACACAAATCTTATAACCTCCTAAATAGCTTGCAAAGAATATTTATTTGAACGTAATAATTTGTAAATGAATTACTGAATGCAAGTGTAAAATCGTTCTAAATTTAAAGGAATATTCACTGGAATTATGCGATACATCTTTTCCATCGAAGAGAAACCTAAGTGACTAGAAATTTCAATTTTTCCTACCAGTAAATATTTTCCAGAATCAAATTCTCATATGTTCAATATTATGATTTTAATACTTGTCGTAATTGTTCTAACGCATACAACTAAATGTGTACTTATACGAAAGAAATATCATGTTGTATATAATCAATTATTTATTTCAACTTCTAGTAAATATTTGCCAAGAAGTATCGGAGTATTATTTTACCCGGACCGAGTAAATATTATTTGAACGCACTTTTTTCAGTCTGAGAAAAATCGTAATGAGCTGAGATATGAATCGTGACGTTACAGCGAAAAGGTCGCGGCACATGATGGTGCAAAAACAACGCTGTCGTTGCGCCATCACGCGTTTTTAAAACACAAGACCATACGAGAGCGTTGTATCCTCACGTCACATCCGTGGTTTCCGGATTTGTGCCCGCTCCGTATTCTTACGCACTCCGAGTGTCACGTTTAAGAAATGGAAGTTCGCGAAGTTTTCACGGCGAGTCTTCGTACTTGGCTGGTTTGAGATGCGTTATATTATACGGGTCAGAGAGCCCATCGTGTAGACGCCCGGATTCGATCGGAACGTTCCCGTTTTTCTGCCGTTATCTCATCACGGGTATTCGGATTCCCGAAACGATCGGAGAGAGAGAGAGAGAGAGAGAGCTTCCGGCGCGTCGCGAGCAAGCGGAAAATCGATTCCAGTCGGGAGACCCCCCGACAGCTACGGAGGCCTCACGTCGCGATTGCAGAAGACACGCGCTTGTTTCGCCGCGCGTGCTTGCAACCGGCTGATTTCCCGTAAGAAATTCGCGATCCTCCTCTGTCTCCTCAAAATAAATACGTACCGCTGTCGGAGACACGTCGATCGAAAACTCTCGCGTTGCCCGGATAAGAAACGCGACGGCTTTCCCCGGTGATCGTGAATAGTCAACCGTGGAAACATGGTAGCAAGCATAATAATAAATAATAATAAATAACTGCCGAAGACAGCGAGTGTTTCTCCTCTTTCGAGCATTCGCAGAAGTCGATAAGCTGCTTATCACTTGGGAATTGTAAGCTGTTATTAATATGTAATATCGACGAATATTTATTAAATCGGGCGCTCGTAAAGAGCATTTCCGAAATAAATTTCCGATAAAGAAGAGAGGGAAGTTGCGAGAGTTGACGATTTGACTCGATAGTCGAATATTGAAGTATTTTTGTATCGCAGAGTGCCGTATTTTCAATGACGTATCAAGAGGATGCTACTCGTCTATTGTAAATCTAGTATTTATCAAACAAAATTACGTTCTTATATACCATTCGTTTCATTATCTAAAAAGTAAATGTTAATTTGAAACGACGTTGAGATATATATATATATATATATACACAATATTGCAAATCTGAAAATTAATCTTTGATTAATTAATTTTTGATTTTTCTTATTAATGCTTTTAATGCTTATTAATGCTTTTTACGCATTAATTGATCCAACAAAGATGCGCATATAATAGGAAGAAGTGTATAAGTGTTTAAATTATGCATATGTATATGTATTTCGGATATTATTCCTAATTGCGCCAATAATCAGTCCATATTTTTAAATCAGTATATAGCACAAGTTTCAAATCAATATATAGTTTTTTAAATCAATATATAGCATAAGTTTCAACAAATTCTTAAAAAAAAAACTCATTTTATATTATAACTATTTTAACCCTTTGCACTCCGCTGTCGCCGTAGCGGCGACATGGTTGTTTTGCTGCCTCGGCACTTTAGGAAATTTTAAGTCCTAAAATTTATGTTTTTCTTTTATAATATAAGTTAGAATATGTTTTGTTATAAAATAGCTAAGAAATAAAAATTTTGTTTTATTGAAACGACTCTATTTTTCTTCTACATCATAGGTATGTACTTGGAACTAATAGCCTCTATGCATTACTAGGCTGGAGTGCAAAGGGTTAAGAGAACGCTTGTCGAGAATGCGCCTTGATCGCTTCAGTGAGTCTCGATATCGCCTGATAAAGCTCGTGACGAAGAGTCACGAACTCGCTCGATTCCGTTGTATATCTCTTTGCATTCCCCTCGCCTTGTCACTGCGCATTACAATGTGTCTCGATTTAAAAACGCTCGCCGGCGAGCGAAATGTAATCGTTCGATCCTCGGGTTCTCCGGTCAAGGGTTTCGCTTTGTCCGTCGTGGGGAGAAAATAGGCAGTCGTCGGGAATAGTCGAGCCCTGAGCCGAGCTCTCGTCTCGGCGACAGATGTCGATTATTGGAAGGAGGTCTCTTTCCTTTTTGTTTCCAGCGCCACGATTGTACGGCGACCGAGTCCCCGTCAGGTTAATAAGGACCACCAGCTGTAAGGTGCGGCAGAAGATCGTGGAGACACACAATTATTTTCGCACGCAGGTCAAGCCAGCAGCCGCCAACATGCTCGTCATGGTAAGAAGAACTCCATTCATATTCCCGCCTAACAAGAGCGACGTCTCGGGTCACCTCGGGCGGGGCTTTATCGCGCGAGTTTCAACGTCTTCTGAGACACCGGGCGGCGAGTTTCAATGAAATTTTTGCGGAGAAAAATGAGCTCCAGACTCGTCGGAGACTGTGTCGCGAAAATTCGAACACCGAGACGCGACTTTTTCGCCGAAATTTCACGTCGAATAAAATAAATTCTAAATTCGTTAGACGGCGACATTAGAATTCAATGTGGTTTTTGAGACACATCGCGCGACGAGTCCGCATTAAATCTTCATGGTAAAACGCCAATTTTAAATTCGCCAGGGAAGAGTGTTTAGAATTTGACGCGTCAGTCTCGAGACCCTCAAGCTTGTTTCACACGAATAAATATACAGGGTGTCCGATAATTTGCCCGGGATCCGTGTGACGTGCAAGTAGAAACTGAAGCGGGGGTGAAATTAAGCACAGAAAAGTCACGCATCATTTTGCAAAATTCGCGATAATTCCTCATTAATTATTCCGAATTTTGCAAAATGGCGTGTGACTTTCCTCGACTTCACGGGTATCGAGAACAGGCTTCAGACACCCTGTATAAATATGACGAGAGGGGAGAAAAGAGGCAGGCAGAGATAAATAGATAGATAAATAGACAGATAGATAGAGAGAAAGAAAGAGAGAGAAAGAGAAGTCTGTCACGAATAAGTTCACGAGGAGGTCGTCACACTCCGTGTCGTGGTGAAGCTACGTCGCGGATTTAACTGATCGACAGTTTATAAAGATAGTGCTTACAACGGGGCGGACGAGGGGGAGCGCTGAAAGTGTAAACGCGAGAGCGTGTTGTCGCGGAACACGAAGTCGATATATCCTATTTCCGTTGATCGACGCTGCGCGCCCGTCCGCGCGATTCCGAGCATCAAAGTAAAATTGGTTTCACGGAAGGGAGGGTAGGGGTAGGCAAGGAAGAGGGACGAAAGGAGGGGAGATTGAGGGCGGAGGGCGAGAAGGGGGCCGGAGGTGAACGTTAACGCGCTTCATCGGGACGTTCACCTTCGCGGCCGCGATAACCACCTTTCTATAAATTTCATCGCAGGTCATCGCGATATTTCACAAACGCTTGGTGCTTTTTTGCGCTGCCCGCCGCCGCCGTCGTTTCCGCGCCTCGCCGTCGTTACAACCGTTGGCGGTGCAGCCCCGATAGTCGATACGTGGGAGAGAGAGCTTTGATATACTTGTCATTGTGTTGTATCTACCCGCGACGGCGCTCTTTTGTTCGCGCCCGATGAAATATATATATATATATATGTACGGGGACTCGGGCAATTTTATCGATAGTATAAATAGAGACGCGGAGAGATGCATTCGCGAGAATCCTGCCATTGTGAGCGCCGCCTGCTTGATCCTCGGGGCAAATTTGCCCCGGCCGTTGACGAATATGACCTCGGCCGAGTCAACGTCCGAAGTAGCAGGAAAGAAAGAAGAGAGAGAGAAGAAGAAGAAGAGAGGCGGAAAGACGGAGAGCGAGAGAGGAATCCGTCGAATCCGAGCGACGTTGGCTCGTGCGAATACGATCGTCGTCCTCGGGGCGACGCGCGGGGAGGACATTTCGCGAGGAATTCGCGAGTAATTCGCGCGAAGCGTCGTAAACCGACGGTTTCGCTCCGTCCCCCGGAATAATGCCGGCGCGTCTCCGCCGTCTCTTTGAGGTTCCGTTCGATTCTCGCGGATTCGCATTTCTTTGCGACGCGCCTTCGACAATATGTCGTCACTTTTCCACTTTTCCAAATAGAATTTTTCCGTGCCGCCTGGCTCACCGCCGCGTCTCTCTCTCTCTCTCTCTCTTTCTCTCACGTCGTCGATTGCCTCGAATCGATAAATCGTTACCCCTCCCCTCGGGAGCGATTAATCGCGATCGACGACGTGCGCTATTTAATCTCCATCTTAATCGAAACTTACACAATGCGGTAAGTTTCGCGATGTAACGCGCCATGCGAACGCGAAAACGAGTATCGCGATATTCTCGACTTTGGAGGGGACTAAGCGACAGCGGCAAAATCCAGGCATTATCCAAAACCCTCGTCACACGATGCTTGTTTTCGTGTTAACTCGCGTTGCGAACCACCATGCTAACATGCGGAGAGGACGGCACCCGTGCCGCGCACAAGTGCATCCGTGATAAATATTTACTTTTAGAGGAGCACCACAAAACGACCCTGACTTTGACGTATATTGTAAAAATCACGCTCCTTTAAGCAATCTCTGGTATATGGAAGGCGGCGGAATTTGTTCAAGCAAAAGTTTGCAAATAAAGTTCATAAAGTAATGTATAAAAGAGCAACGCCTGTCACTCGTTCTCATGAAATTCTTGCATAGGATATAATCGAGCCATTACGTTAAAATAGTTGCCAATGAGTTTATGAGAACGGTGTTTCGATGATATAAATCAATGTCAAAGCCAAAGTTGTTCTGAGGTGTTGCTCCAAAAGTAAATATTCATCGATATCCAAGACGGTAATAATTATTGCCTCATTCTGTACAGTAAACGTATAAAATGGTATAAACTTTATTTGCTTTTATTTTATTTTTTCGATAATTTCCTGTAGGTATGTCATGGGAATGTCGGTTTTCGGGCTCAGTTTCTAAAAGCGTCAATCTTCAAACATCTTAAAAAATAGTTATTTGCTATTAGCTTTTATTAAGTAGATATGAAATAATTTTCATAATACTGTCATATATTTCGGCAGAGAAGTGTTGTCGGTTTTCATCCACGTACATAAATTTTAATTGTATACCCTCAAATAGGGCTTTAAAGCCTAAAAACAAAATGGTACGTTGGTTTTCGTGCTTTCTCTCTACTAATTGGAAAGCGTGGAAACGAGGACTCGATTTGTTCCCCGTGAAAATTCGCGAAATTCACACGAGGAACGTTGAAGAAACGATTGGTGATCGTGAGCGCGGGGGGGAGGGGTGGCGGCAGGCGAGGGCGGCAATCATCCGCGCGAGACGCAGCGAAAGCACCGCCGGCGCAACGCAAAAACAACGGAAACGTAATTCAACTCTCGCGTGCGCGCGCGGCGCAACGTTTAATTCGAGCTTTCGGCAAGTTCGTGCGGCAGAACGGGGGGCACAACGGGGCCCCGTTAATTGGACTGATTAAAATTAAGCGGCGAAAGCGCTCGTTATCTGCTCGTTTCCGCGATTTTCCGCGCGCCTCTGGGAAAATTGTCGGGAATTAGCGAGCGCATGTGCCGTAAACAATTGTCAGTAGAGTAACGTACGCGTCTCTCCCTTCTCGCGCGATGAAACACAATAAGACGCGCGGCGGAAGCGATGGAACGTTCGATCAACGAACGCTTTAATTGCACTTCGCGTGAATCATCGCGACAAAGCATGTGCGCGCGCGCATTTGCAAGGCAAACAAATGAACAAACGCAAATAAATCCAAATGAAACAAATTGCGCTGTTTATAATTGCGAGCGCGCTTATATTATGCAAATGTAATCGTGATTTCTCCACTCCAGTCAAATATTTGAATTTCCCCCGACGCGGAGCGTCCGGTGTTCGAATGTTAAACGCGCGCAGTGCGCGCGTTTAATACCGGCATGCCTCGCCGTCGCCGTGAGATTTACCTTACGAAGCGGTTTGCTTGATCCAGAAAACTGAATTCTCGTGGTCCGCCGTCGCGTCGACGGCGCAAGATTTCAATTTCCGCCGTGCATCGACGTTATTATCCGATCCATATATACATAAACACGCGCACGCCCTTCTCCCATCCCCTCCTGCACTACGTATATTATACCCGCTTTCAGTTGTTTCTCACAACGCACGTTGTATACCGTGGCTACAGGACGTTTCAGGATGAAATGCGATATTTATCGCGACCGATAATTTAACGGAGATAAATACACGGCGCAAAAACACGGCCGAGCCCCAATTAATTTCGTAAAAGTAAACAGATACGATGAGGAAAAACAGAATTAAAAGCGTGGGATGTTGGCGCGAAAAAGAGAAAAAAAAACATACGAAATGAAATAACGCGTCAACTCTAATACGATTTACTCCGATATATTTTTTTATGACAATAACGACGAGTTCTCTCTCTCTCTCTCTTTCTTTCTTACACATAGCAGGACGGAAGCCCGGCGCCGTCATTGGACTCTCAAATGCGGGAACTTCGCTCGCCGTCCGGACTTTGATAAATGTTCCGCATGAATTTCGCCTCGCCCATTTCGGCACTTACAGCCGGCCGTGAGTTTTCTTTCGAAGCATCCTGTATGTTCGAGAGCGACGGGGCAGGTGTCTACGTGGTCAGACTATCTCCTCGGTCTTCTCTCCGTTTACTCGTCGTTTCCTTCGCGCCGCCAATCTCCAGCTTGGTTATAAGTTACACGACTTCCCACTTAAATTCTTTCCCTGCGGAAACTACCGACGACGTCGCACCGTAAAAGCTACCTTCGGCAGGAGTTTACGTCGTAGATGCGACTGTTACCCGGGAGCTTCTCCGGCGAGACTCGAGCCGCGATGCGGCTTCGAGCGAGAGCGGGGATCGCCGGTATCGGGGATCTTTTTATTGACGAATCGGCGTCGATGAGCGGGAAAGGAAGTCGGGTGGTAACGACGCTGCACCGCTGCATCGTATCGTCGAGGTCACTTGAGATTTTACCGCGAACTCACCGAAACGTCCGGGTTGACAGTCGCAAGATAGATAGACGGATATATATATATATATATAGAGAGAGAGAGAGAGAGAGAGAAAATCGTGATTAACAATCATCTCATAATTAGATATCCGCTCGAAACGTGAATTCACGATACGCGAAACCGAGCTCGTTGTTAACACCGTCGATGATCGCGTTAATTCTCGTCGATTCAGCGAAAACTTAACTTAGCCGATCAAATTACCAAAGATACGCACTGCATAAACGCGCGATTCGAGACGCGTGTGTACCTTACACCTTGTTTGATCAGCTCTTCGGCTAATTGGCTCGGCTGCACTGTCGATTTTTCAAACGCAATTAGAGGCAACAGGGATGAGATGACAGCTTTAATGTTCGCGCCGATTTTTCCTCATTCTCGTCATTAACGTCCGAATAATGATCAATTTTTTCCCGAGTGGCTAAAACCTTGACTATTGTCTGCATCTAAACTGAAGAACCTGTCAATAAATTCGAATGCCGGTCACTTAAAATTTTTTTCAGAATCTGTTAATCTCGCGAGGAAAGATAGACGTACATGCAGACAAGACGAGTTAAGAGTTTGGGAAAATCAGCAAATCGTCATCCATCTTACCCACTTCGTTATCTCACCCCTCTTTCCATCAATTACGCTTCATACCTGACTTAATGAGAGACGGCGGCATTCGGCGCGTTAACGTCGACTCGGCCAGAATTTTTCCATACACGCGAGCGGGACGATAGCGAAACGTGTAATTTCGTGTCGTGCTGGACGGGATATTGCGCGACGTTCCCCACCGGTTAGAACTCGGAGCGTCGAGTTTGCAAGTGAGGAAGTAAAGCAGTCGCCTCGAAACGCATAAATCAAGGTTGCGCCGCTGATTGAGGATCCCCGCCCGGTAGGTCCCGACTTCTTCCTCGGATTTAATGTAGGCACAGGATGCAATATCGCGGCATCGCCGGCTCAATTTTCGAGCGTCCTCCTTTTCTTCCCTTCCCCACCTTCGTTCTTTTTTACTTCGCGTGTAGTCGCGCCGATTGCACCGCCGCGATCTTCACACGCGCGCTTCATTCATCGGGAGGAGAATTGATCGCGATAATCGCACGATATTCCCGACGGTATCAACCTCGTAACGAGAAAATATGAAGAACCGAGGAGAAAGGCGGATAGGAAGCGTCTTCTCACGCGAGCGAGAAACTCCCGGGTGTTCGGCCCAACTCCCCGAGGACGGTTATGGCTTTGGAAGCGCGTTATATTTGCATATAACGAGTGATTACGGAGACGCGGCGAAGTCGCGCGGGGGGAACTTTCGCTACGAGTTTACAATCGCAGCGCGCGCGGCATGCGCGGAAACTTTCCGCATCCGCAAACACGACTGCGACCGTGTGACTGTCGCACATATATTCTCTAATGAAGTTTCGAGCGTTTTCCGAACGCAACGCGTCACACCGCGCTGCCGCGTGGAATCGCCGGACTGTTTCCAGCGGAGCCGTCAATTTGCAACCTTCCCTTAACCCGGGATTTTAACTGCGCGCGTTTTTCTCGACGAATCTTCGGCATGCAACACCGAGCCGTCGCTTCTGCAAATTCCTATCCGGTGAAAATTCATTTTATTATCTTCCCGCTCGAAAAAAATCGAAAGAGCGACAGCCGGCTCTCGCTTGAAATCCGAGCGGTTCCCCGGGTTGAAATTCTCCGATCTTACCGTCGGCTTGGAAATTCCATCGAACGTTTAGTTTGACACGCGGAAGCTGCTTACGTGAACCTCGCCGTTTGATTCTGTATTTAGCCTTTCCAATTTCTCATTCGAAACTGAAGAGCGAATTTTCGATGATTTCTATGACACCGTCATAGAAATGACTTAAAAACACTCGCCGGTGTGTCCTAATTCAAACTTGGAGCGAGTTAAGAATCCACTTTAAGTTTAAGTTCGAACATTCACTCTCGCGATTCCGAGTGGCAGTATCCTCATTCATTTCGGGGTGAGGCTTCACTCTCGAGAGATCTCGAGAGTGACTAATCTCCTCACCTTTGAAGCCCCGTCCAAAGTCCACCCGCAGTTAAACGAGCCTCCGAAGTGTAGCTCGCGAGAGGATATTTTTTGATACGCTCATCATTCTGAATTTGCTACACGCCATCGAAACATTTTTCTCCCAGTTCGGTCTTTGATATCTCGGCGGGCCATAACGGCGCTTCGTCCCAGGACTCTCCCTGTGTACCATAAAGCGTCGTTTATTCGGGCATGTCCGATAATTCCGAATCCCTCGTCCCGTTTCAGAAATGGCATCCGGGCTTAGCGAAGGCGGCGCAGAGGTGGGCCGATCGCTGCCTCGGCTTAGTGCACGACAATGCAACTGGCTTGTACCTGGACGGCTTCGGCCAGAGTGGACAAAACATTTTCATCAGCACGGGTCGCACGCTCTGGTGAGATATTATTAAATCTTGTTTACTTCTAGTTAGCGAGTTTGCGCTGGCAGCCGGTATATTTGCACAGGTGCAACTCCGGAACGCGCGCGCGAGACTTTATTCCGCGGAAATATGCGGCGGTCCGTCCGCGGATGTACCGTTAATCGCTGAATCGTCGGCTCGGTTATTTACGCGTTAAAGTTGTCTTCTAAGGCGAAAACGCGCCAAGTAATTCCGCCTGTTGGATCAACGGCGAAGATCGCCGGCGCGAATTTTTCCAACCCTCGCGTTCCAAGAACGTTGTCACGGGCGCCATTCCAAATTTCCGATACAACTCGAAATTTCATTTTACGAAATCACTTTATTAACTTTTACTATTAATTTCATAATAATTGACAATGAATTAAATTTCGGGAAATTAATGATAAGAGGAACTGATAAAATTTTTATCGTTAATCTTATAAGAAACGACTTTCATGAGTTTTAAGTCAGTGTGAAAAGTGGCGGCGACCGGTTTAGATTTAGATTTGAATGCGGGAAGACGCTGCCACGCCTTTTTTTCTTTTATATGCATTTCCTCATTTTCCTTATAGAGAACTTTGAAAACTATAATAATAAAATTAAGGAAGAAAGCTTCGTGAGACACTTTCGATACGGCGTTCTCGGATGGCGCGAAAGATTAAGACTCGATCGAGTTTCTTTCGGGAATCGATCGCACGCTCCGTGCGACATCGCGGAAAATTCGGGGGACGTGCTCCTTTCCTCTCGTAAGACGCGGAGAGCTATAAATTTCAGAAGTTAGAACTAGAATCCGCACGGATAGTACGGCATGGGAGACGAGAGAGCTCGGCAAACAGCTTGTATACGTCGTCGCGCACGACCACGAGCGCTTCTCGAACCGAGATCGTTCGCCGAATTGTCCTACGTCGGAACGTTGCAGGAACTTCCCCATCAGAATGTGGTACATGGAGTACAAGGACTTCAAGTACGGGGCCAATACGACGAATGACATCCTCGAGGTCGGCCATTACACGCAGGTGGTGTGGGCGACGACGCATCTGCTCGGTTGCGGAGTGAGCCATTGCACCGGCGGCAAGGGTCCGCTTGGCAAGGACTTCTACATGTATGTCTGCAACTATGCGCCAAGGTACGCGTAATGCTGAGTGATCGGAGGGGCCATCGACAGAACGATAAATCCTTACATGTGTTATACGACGGCGACCTATCAGCCGCGGCACAGAGTAGTCCCGCGATACGCAATGTAATAAGGTCATTTAGAAGTTGTTTACCGTCAAATTTCCTAACTCGGCTATTAGAATTGTCTGACTGCAAAATTTCCCAACCATTGCTTTGACTTATTATTTATGAATTATTGAAAGAAGCGGGAACTACGTGGAGATCTGCGATGGCTCATCTCCGTGATAGTTTTATGTTAACGATTATAAAAAACGAAAAGATCGTAGATAGTCTCGAAATGAAATCGAACAATCTTCCTGCCGTCGTACAACACGAAGAAACCCTCGGAAGGACCCCATTCGAGACCCGTTAAATCAACGTCGAGTACACGTCGTTAAATACGACGAAGCGTAAGCAGATTCCGGTTGAATGGTAGACATCGCCGAGATTTCAGTCGTTATTGCTGCGAAACGGAACTCGCGTATTAACGCTGCATAGATCAGGGCACACGGGAGCGCGGTGTAATTATTTTCACTGGCGGGATGCGTGTGCCGTTTACCGCGACTGTTATGATATATGGTTGTTTCTGCAACAGCGATTGCAATTGGGCCAGAACTTAGTTCATTAGCTTTGAAATTGACGCAATAATTTGCCGGAGGGAAACACGGTGGATTGAAACGGTTAACCGTAAACTTGGCGAAGGTAGCTCGCGCGCGTGCGCGCACGTCGTCAAAGCGGGTCCTGGTTACACCGATGTTCGTGCGTTGAAAGGGAAAGAGGTCAAAGCTGATTGTCGAAGCAGAATACGAGGTAGAATAAATAAAGAGAAAGGAAGAGGGACGGCGATGAGGAAGGAAGGAAGAAAGGATGTGCGGAGAACCTGATTAAAATACGCGCACATTCGACTCTTTGCGCGACAGTAGTTAGCGGCGGCAAGCACATTTATGAAAAAGGAACTCTACTTGCAATGTGGCCGCTGGTTAAGTGTACAAATAATTATACCGTGCCTTTTCCCTCTCATACACACACACACACATACACATATACACATGAGTGAGTGTTCCAGAAATTTTTTCTACTACAAAAAGAGTTAATTTTCACGTGAATCCTTGCAAAAGGTTACGGGTTGCTGTAAAAGAAAAATATGTTGAAAGAGAGGTGATCGATATTATCTTTTCAGAAATGAACGGTACTTCGCTATATTCGTCGTGATAAATATTCTCTTGCACAAGGCGCTTCTTGCGATTTTTCCCGCCTGATTTATGCCGTGTCGAACGGCGTTACTCGTTAATTATTAAACCCGGGAAAATCGAGCGGTTATTCTTCGAGGAGAGAAACTCCTAAGTGTTTCATTATATATTCCTATATATTCCACGTAGCAGCCGCGACTTACCAACGAAAATCACAAATACACTGAGAAAGCCAAAATACTGGTGACAAAGAAAGTGTAGATCGCGTTTCGATTATTATGCTGATTGAAAAAATTTGCAAAAGATTCTGGAGAAAATGAATTTATTAATTTTAAGGATCAACTGCCTTAAACGCGACAGCGAGAGACAACGCCTTTGTTTTTCACGCTTCCCATTCGAAGTGTAGAATTTCACACGCGATTTCTCTTCATCGAATTCCCACAGGTTAGGCCACGGACGTGCTACGGACACGCTACTACGCTAAGAGTAGCTCGGAAGATTCGCGTTTAAGGAAATATGACGATGTCGGTACCTCGTGAATGGAAAGGAACGTTAGTCATCCGCGACCCAGTATTTCAGCGTCTCGCGTAACGTGACTGTTCGCGCGATGCGGCAACGAGCACACTTGAGCTTGGGAGTTTGGTAACACAGAGAATTGCTTTCACTTCGCGAGTGATTGCCGGGGTCGGTACGAACTTCCCTCCGGACACCTCGTGTGAAATGTATGAATTTGACCGGCAGCCTTTTCTACGAACGAAAGTAACCAATGTGTATTCAAACTCATGGCGCATAAGCTTCCTGTAGACGAGCTGAAATATGTAAAATCCTATATTTATATACTGTGTGTAAGAGACGTAACACACATGCACACAGGTAGACAAACGGGGAGAGAGAGAGAGAGAGAGAAAGACACAGGCACATATATACAAGTATTCACGTTCATACAAATACACTCTCTTTCTCTCTCTTTCTCTCCTTTCTCTCACACCTATATGTACTCGAGGGAAAACAGGAGGAACAAGGTAAGCAAGGAAAACAAGGAAAATGGTGACACCGGTGCGGAATATATGCAGCGTCAGCGGGAGTTATAGCTCGTTCGTCTTTGTCATGCCCATTGTGGCACTTAGACGGCTCTCTTTGTCACCAGTATGGCATACTTTCTCAGTGTACTTATGGTTTTCGTTGTAGCATGGCTGCCAGGTGGAATACATATATACACACACACACATATATATATATATATATATATATATATATATATATATATACACATGGGGTGAAAAGCACACCACAGGACGATATGCGGAATAAAATACTTAGAAGTTTTTCTCATCGAGACCGCTCGATTTTTCCGGGCTTAATAATTAACGAGAAACGCGTGTAACACCGTCTAACACGGTATAAATTAGACGAGGAAAATCGCGAGAAGTAATTTGCTGCGCAAGAGAATACTTGTCACGACGAATCAAGAGAAATATCGCTGATTTCTGAAAAGAGAATAACATCGATCACCTCCGAGAAATAATTTCAAGTGAAGATGAGTATCACGCAATTTAGACGTCTATTATTATATCTGCATGAAAAACAGAAAAACGTCTAGTTGCTCCTGTTCTGGTTAATGCGATGCAGAATTTTTCTCCCGTGCAGAGATCCGTCTGTCTTCCCGATAAAATCCGGAAGCGAGCTAAAAGTTTCGCGTTTTCGCTTTTCTGCTCGAACTCACCAATTTTGATCTCTCTGTGTCGGCGGAACTTCAAAGTTTACTCGAATATATCTCGTTCGGTATGTTAAACGCGAAGCGTCAGGAACGGAGAGTTACAAACAGCGTTCCGCGCAGTTGCGTTCTTGGGCGAGCCGTTCGAGTGAGTGACAACAAAATCAATGATTGATCTCGGGGAGATTTCACGCGCGGACGACTCGATCGCAATTAGAATCCGCTTCGGCCGCTCGCAATTTATCGCCCCTGCAGTCCCTACAAAAATGCTGGCGATCCGGTTCGGTACTAAGGATTCCTACAAATCGCGCGGCTATATACCCCTCATATATCGATCCTCCGCAATACGCAGACCCGATAAATTTTCCGCAAGATCCGTTCTAATACGATCGGCGACGAGCTCCTCTGCACAGCTTCATATATTCGCGTTACAAGGCGACATACTAATGGACAAATACACACATACACACACGCCGGCGGTATTAGCTTCCCCGTCGCGACCAGGCGAGTCTCTTCAAACTCATCAGCTCCGCGCGTTTCCAGAGGAACGTGGAAAAACGAAGACAAAGATTTTTATAAAATGCAAATATTTGGTGCGACGAGAACGGTGAAATATAACGGTCGGAAATGTGAAGTCAATTTTTGTCGGAGGAAAGGTCGAGAGACGCTTAATGGCTTTCGAGCTGCCGGCGAGTCACCGAAAGTGCTCCTCGAGAATTAAGCTCCGAGAACGAAAACAGATGACGGAACGGTTATTCGTCGTGGACGATTTCAAAGGGAACGTTTGGTATAGCGAATCGACGTGTGGAAATGACAATACGAGCGGAGAAAATCCGAAAAAGCGCAGGAAGGAATATGTAAATATCGCGCGGAGAATCCTTAAAACGGGAAGGGAGGGAGTAAAAGAAACGCGACGGCGACGCTTGAATCTTGGAAATTTTCGAGAGCGAACTTCGCAACTGAAGAATCAGAAAAATGGAATACCGGAAAAACGCGGCAGAGAGGATCTTAGGGAGAATTTCGCTTTCGACGAACTGAAAGCGGAGCGGGGGAATAAAAGGCGGAGAACGCGGGGCTTCCGGGATCATTTCATATGCCCATTTTGCACATCGATCTGCACTTCTTGTTAAGCGGCGCACATTCTCCCGCAGTGTATTTGACGCCTGACCTATTTCGCCGCGAAAAGCAAAGCCGGCGCGCACGGCTCTTGAATAAATAAACCGTGTCACATGGTGGTGGGCCACCTTATCCTTCCTTTTATCTTCGCCGCTCTTCCACACCGGCTCTATCTTGTAATTAATTTCGTGGATAAATAACGCCCGAGCACCGGGCCTTTGGACGGAGAACCAGAGAAATTTCCTCCCTTCTTCCTCGCTCCTGCCTGCCTGCCTCCTGCGATCGTTTAAGACGCGCGACTCGTTCCGAAAAATACTTTGGATGTAAATTCGTTGGCCCATTTGCAAATTGCTCGGCGCTCTTTCCGCGAGCTTTGCGTTAATGCGCGCCGCGAATGGTCGCAGGGCCGAAAGGTATTTGCGCCGTTACACAGAGATATATCTCAGAAGTCCCCCCCTCTTCCTCGCCCCGGTGCAATTATTTCGCGAAAACCGCTCGAGCAGCGCATCGCGCGGTCGAGCGAAAATCGAATAAGTCAGGCGGCTGCCGCCTACGAGGGGAACGATTTTCCGCGAAAATGCGAAAACGCGGCGCGGCCGCGACTTCGGTCCTCTGCAGAGGAAAAGAAGGAGAAGAAAAAAACAATGGAGAGACCAAAATTCTGTCGCGTCGCGAGCGAATAACGCAGTGAATAACGAATTAATCCCGCTAATGTTAAATTCAAACGCTCTTCGCGCGCGACGCTACACAGAAAAGCTCTCCTTTTTTCATCACCACGCCGTCGATCCGAAATGAAGCGCGTCGGGCCGGACCGGCGTGATTCCGTCGCTGTGTTTACGATATTTAAATCGCATTAAGTTGGTTGGTCTGTAGAATGCTGGATTTTCACAACGATATTAAGAGACTTCTTCATCAATACGCAGCTAAAATTCCAAGGATTCCTGCGAAAATAGTTTGGCAAACCAGCTACCTTAATTGCTGAAGCGCTACCGCGGGAGACATTTCCCGCGCTCTCCCCGCTATTTTCAACGCAACAGCCCGGGGTATCTGCTTTCTGCTTCGCAGTGGCAACTACAGGGGTCGTCTGGGCCTGCCCTACGTGGCCGGCAGGCCCTGCAGCATGTGCAAGGACCATTGCGAGCGGAGCCAGCTCTGCACGAACGCCTGCTACTACACCGACCTGTGGTCGAACTGCGCCGAGCTGGTCAGGACGTTCGGCTCCTGGGTCTGCGAGACGGACACCAAGGAGGGCCGCGAGCGTCGGAAGTTCTGCGGCGCCACGTGCAATTGCAAGGACAAGATCTACTACCATTACGGGTAGGAGGAGGGCCGCTCGGCCGCGCTGGTTGGGTCCACCGAGTTGCATGAATAATTTAATCGCCAAACTAAACTACCACCATCCCTCCTTCCCTGCCCCTCCCCCTTCTCTCTATCTCTCTCTCTCTTTCTCACTCTCTGTCCTCCCCCTTGAAAACCTTCGTCATCTCTCCGTCTCACGTACACGCGGACCCGGTGGCGAGTACGACGACGATTCTGTGGACTATGGGACGACTATGGGATTACGTTTGTTTCGCTCGATGAAAGCTCGACGAGAGCTCGACAAGAGACTTCCCGACCGCCGAGCGTCGTCGTACGGACGGACAGAGAGGGCAAAGCGGTAGTAACAAAGCGGGAATAACGCGGCGGATGAAGTGAGAGAGGCGCGGAATTCGCACCTCCCCCCCCCCCCCCCCNCCTCTCGCCGCTCTGTAGGCGGAGAACCCGGATCACGCGGATTCCGGGGGACCGCCGGTACAATTCGCGGACTCCACGCGGATCTAACGACTCCGGGCGTGATGCGTGCGATCCCCTGCTTCCGGTTCCCCGGAGGAGCTCACTTCCCGATAATATACATGTGTCACATACAGTATCGGGACAAAATTAAAGTCACATGTCACCAGGTACTTCCGTCGATTTTGAGAACGTATTATAAATTAATGAAAATTTCGCCACGAGTCCAAACAATTCAATACAATTAGAATCTAATGCGTTTTTAGAACTTTCGAGTGAAACCAATGTTATGTACTTCTAACGCATGTATTATTATAACAATTCATCAATTTGCTTCCTCGGTCGGGTTACTTTGTCATTAATCAGAATGCTCACCTTGTTATTCGACTCAACGCGCCAGCTTTATCTCGACGTTTACACTCGCTCACACTCGTCCCAGCAGCATTTCTCATTTAATACGAGAACAAGGTTAAGCCGAGATGACTTACGTCAAAGGAGCTTGAGCGAATCGAGGGAAGGGATTAATTTTTCATCGGTGAGCTTCACGCGTCGTCTTAGTGCGCCGGGATTAAAATGCAAAAATTATTCGGTCCTCTTTCTTTCCCCGTGCGACCAACTGACGCGAGCGAAAATAATTCTCTAATCGATGCGCACACGCGCACGCGCGCGCACACACACACACACACACGTAAGCACACACAGTGGTGAAACGTGGAAAAACAAGGTTCCAGGGCCGGTTTTCGCACAAGTTTTCAACGCGCATCCCATCAACTCTTTAACGTACTTGCTCTTTCTAACGGTACAATTGTCTGGTTAAGGCATGTATGGCCTGATTCGGAGAGCCACCCGTCAACCCCCTGTATAACTTTCGAATATGTACAAGTAAATGATTTTACACCTGTAAGTGAAGGTAATCGCAGCTCTTCGTCGCGTGTGTGTGTCTCTCACGTCGCCGTATGTAACGCCACACCGATGATACAACGTAGTCGATCGTGCGTGTCTTTGGATGAGGCAGAGCAGACGGTAACATACATATAACTTCACGTCAACGTGTGTGACGTATATTCTTTCGCGATTTTCGCCTCGATTGTTTTACACACACACATATATATATATCTTTTTTCCTCCGATATGCAGCAGTGCGCAGTGCAGCGTGGACAGCGCGTAACAGACTCCAGCGGCTTACGTTGTCACCGAAAGGATTATATTCACCGTCCCTGCGTGCATGAAATATTTACGGTATTATAGGTTCCGCGCGCTCGGAGATGCACGCAGGTATCGGGCGCGCTAATCGAAAAACTCACTTAACGGATAACGCGCGCTGAATTAACTCGGCTTGATCTCATTTCGGCCAATCGTGGAATTCCGCTGACGTTGCCCCCCACGGCCGCGCGAAGAACGACGGAGATACTTCGAAATATATATATATATATATCACCGGAAACTGTGTAAATAAATAATCCGATGGGTTTACATATCGAAACTGTGACAATTACTAGGCGATAGACGACTGTACTACTAATTTTAGCTAATTGTTAAGGGGACGGGGACATACGACAGTGTAAAAATAAGAGGAAAACGAGCAAGCCTCGGAGGGGAGGGGGGGGGGAGGGACGCGTCGATGTTTCTTGTCTCGATGTAACGACGGTAAAACTACCCTCCGTTAGTTCACGGTCGCAGTAACCTATCAGTTCTTTTTATCTTAGACTTAACGTTAGCGTTACGCGCGCGCAGTATCGAAGAGTCGGGACTGCGAAGTTAACTCTTTACCGCTTAATCTTTCTTACGAGCGGAAAAAAAAAATATATATATTTTGGACAAACAGAGCGTACAGAGCGTAAGTAAAACTACTAGTGATACAACCACTTTCTTTCTCGCGATGAAATTTTCGGGGGGATACATATCGGTATGAGAACGGTGCGTGTTTATTGGGAACGAGTGTCGAACGTCCGACGCACGTCCGTCGCGTGCGAGACAGAGAGAGAGGGCTCTTCTTCGGCAAAACCGAAGGACGAGGATCTACGGGGCAGCGCGAACGCAGAGGAATCCCGCGTCTCGACCGACCGAGATGGTCGAGAACGTCGCATACCATCTTTCTGCGGGAGGAACCGCGGAAGAACTGCGGATGTACAGATAAGCGGCGTTCGATCGAGTATCTTGCGCGCAAGAGAGAAATACAAGTATAAGTTAAGTATAATACTAATACAGTTTGGTGTATGTATGTACGTGTGTGTGTGTGTGTGTGTGTGAAAAGTCTCCTTGTCGTTATTTTTTATAGGAAAAGAAAAAATAGCGAACTTCGAGTATTTCGCGGCATACATGCACACACGTGGCATACATACATGCGGTAAATGCGGTAAAGAGTTAAGAGCGAATTGTAAATCATAGGGCGATAATACCGATAATACGGGGGAAGGGTGGGGAGGGATCCGCAGGAAATACAATTACGTGCGACGGATGGCGAGCGTGTGTGGTCGATGATAATAAGTGGAAACTTGATCGTCGGTAATTAAGGAGTTCGTTCAAGAGATATAACAAGTGAATGTGTAATACAATACTGCTCGAAATATAAAAAAAAAAGAACCGTTTCAAAAACTGTAATAACTTTGTCCATTTACAAGAGAATGATATAATAAACATCCTGTAAATACAGATACCATTCTCGTTATCTCTGTGCGTAATCATTTTACTCTCTCAGCCAGATTCGGCGCTTACTTCAACGGCGATTTGAATCGTTTCACAGGTGCTGCGCCTTTAATCGGCAATCAAATTGATTAATAATAATATAATAATGAGCACGCGTGCGCTATAAGGATTATCCTCTCTCGGTGAGGGCCGTGTATACACGCTATACTACGCGTTGTGCAAAGAAATCTCGAGAGCTCTCTCTTAATCCCCGATAAATTTACAGGCGTGTCGTTAAATATGATAAAGCGTAATCACATTTCCGACGTGGCGAGCGGACGTATGCCGGACGTGTGCTGTTCGCTGGGCCGCACTTAATCGCGCAGAAATATTTATTCGTTGCCGTGGATCGAGGGATTAAGCGGGAATTATGCGGCGAATAAATCGATGGGCTTTAAAGCTGTATGAGGAAGGGGGGGAGGAAGGGATGGTCACCCTCCACCGGTTCGGGTTCCTGGGAAAATGCAGTCGGTGAATTCGAGTTAACGTCGCGCCGGGAGTGCGTGGTCTTTTTGCCGCGAAGGGCTTAAGAATGCTTTTCAAACTGCGCGTCCGGGAACTTCGCCGTGGTTTTCAAATGGAGTCGCCGGGCGTTGGGATTTCCTCATATCGAATTACGTACGTACAGCTACATCGATGCGGATACCGGATCACTCGTATTACTTGTTTCGCTTTCGCGTCTTCTTTCTCTCTCAGAAAGAGAGAGAGAGAGATCCGAGATTCTGACTGATTATATTCAAATACGTACGGTGATCGGAAAAACATTCTCGAGATGCTAATGTCGACGACGAAATCCCTGAGACTTGTGAAAGTGGGACAATTTCCGGGCAATTCGTAATCTCAAAATTCGAAAATATAGGGATAGGCAATTTCCCGAGACAAAACTTTCCCGGCATGTGGGAAGCGTTGCAATTGTCCCGAAAAAATTATAATACTAATACAACTAGACAATGTATCGGAGAGTTTCTTAAACTACAGCTACAGCTACAGCATTCTTAAGAAGTAACGATAATAGAGGAAAAACCGGATAAAGATCACTCCGTCCGTCGATCGACAAATTCAACCAGCTCATATCGAAACACGGCGATAATCATTTCCGACGGTGTCAAAGGGCGTAGGCGAAAGCTGATTCGCCGTGATTCCAGGACTTACCGAGCGGAATAACACCCGTTCGAGCCGATTCGTCCGTCATGAGCCGAGAGGACCGGCAAAAGCTGGGAGGCCTGTTGTCGCATCGCGGAATGCCTTTGAATGAGAGGAACCCGCTGGAGAGTCGACGACGGAGCCGAATGACGGCGCCATTCCGACGCCGATAATGCCGCTACGCGCTTACGTCAAAGATCGCATTGTCGTGAACGGGCAATTTCCTTCCGTCTTTCGACGGTTTCCACGGGGGGAGGGAAGGAACGATTGAGATCGGCCAATCGGGGCGAAAGATTCGTCCGCTGAATTTAATCCCTTTTTGTACTTCGCCGGGCACTCGGATAATCGACGACCGAGGAATACGGTGAGAGCTTTTCAAGTTGGTGAGTTTTATCTTACGCGGTTTGAAGTCGCGCAATTATTCTTTCGTATCGAGCATGTCACACGACAGTGAGATGCCAATTCTAGATGCCAGGATACCCGGGCGTTTCCGCAATTACTTAGGGATCCGAAAGTATCCATTTGGTCTTTTATTATCATTTCTTCTTATTTATTCTCCAAGTTATCGCGCACATAAAGAATTTTCAGATAAAATCAATCGAGTTGTATACTTAACGAAATACTCAATTTTTGATATCGGAGTACGTCAGGAAGTAAAAATATAAATAAAATATATGGAATATCTGGGGCGCGGGGAATAATTAACTTTTTATTGACCTAAACTTAATGTCTGCTTTTTATTTACTTTACGCGGACTGGAGAGGAGAATACTTTTTTTTTTATTTTTACGGGGAAAAACATATAGAGTTCCGTTAAAAAGGATTGTAATTTGCATCAGTCCCGATAAATTCCAGAAATTGTAGACGCACCAGCATAGAAAAGAAGAAAGTTTTGTCGAATTTATCAGACAGTGGACGAACCAAACTTCTTGTTTGAAGGAAACAGAACTTCCGCTTCTTACGACCCAAGTTCGATTCTTATAACCAAAAATTCCGCTTCCCTCAACCAAAACGCACCCGGCTCGTCCACTATCTGCTAAATCGTTCGACCAAACTTTTCTTCCCGCGTGGCCTTGAAGAGCCTCGGTCGGCGCTGTAACTTGAATATATATCTTCCATTAAAAACCTGCGACAACGTCCTACATAAAAAGTCTTCGGTCCCGGATACTCGATTTGTATTGGCAGCGTCGACTGATAACGACAGGCGGCAAAAGACCACGGCTTGAATTCGACCCTGAGTAACGCGAGACTCGCGCACCTGTCTGTCGGACAGCGCATTAAACAATACGATACGCGGCCTCCGCGGCCCACAATAGCGATTCGTCGCACGTAATTCGCCGTGGCTGTGTGTTAAAGTCCGCGGCGGTCCGGCGGAGGCTTGATTTATGAACGCATTAACTGTGCCCGGGGCGCGCTATCGTCAACTGATTGATCGCCAGTAATTAGACCGTGGAGCAGCCGCGCTCCTAATTATTCGGTGAGATCCACGGGAGGATTTCTGAAAAGCAACAGCGATTTTCGGCCCGCGGGACGTGCTCGCCGACGAGACTTCCACATCCGCGGTTTGTCCGTAATGCACACGGCTCGATCGCACATCGAATATCACGCTCGAATATTATATGTTTTCTTTACAGCGCACGCACCCCGCGCATGCCGATGTTTGCGCACGTTCGCGAATGTTTACGCAGCCGCGAATAATTGATTGCGCGGGCGCGCAATTATTCGGGATTTCACGCGGTCGCACCCGTCCGGCGATCGTGATCTGTTAATGTTGATCGGATTTCCTCGGCGGGAAAAGTGGGACGTTAAATTTCATCGAGGATACCGTCGACGGGCGTCGGGCATCTCCTCCCGAGAGCGTCAGATCGATACTTCTCGCGCGCAAGCAAGCAAGCAGTTTTGTTCTTATTTCTGACTGCTGCGGAAGTGCATTTATCAGGAGTCCGTTTATCGGGAGGATAAAGTGAAATTTCGAAGGAGTTTCTCCCGTGGATCTGCGGATACGGCGACGATGCCGGAGAGAGAGAGAGAGAGAGAGCGAAGCTTCCCGCCGTCTTATAACTGTCTAAATTCTCTCGCGCACACGTACGATTTCATTCGGCCGCTGTCGGGGATTCCTCGTCTATTATCAGATTTCAACTTGGCGAGTCTTCGCATCCCGCCTTGAATTTACAGATCGCTAACGTCGCTGAAAGCGAAAGAATCCGGTGAACGGCGTTCGAGGTAACACGAATCCGCGAATAAGCTGCCCGGTGGCTGCCGGTCGGATGATAACAACGACGGTGAACGTTAAGTGTGTCGAGTTAGAAGGCCTTCGCACAGAAGCACGTTAAGTCCGTAACGCGTTAAGTTACGTTAAGTACCGACCTTAAAGTTAGCATGCACTTGACAGTAAAGTTAGGTCGACGTACAACAAGAATCTTAACATAAACGGGACTATACATGATCAGGAATATCATCATCTGTAACGTAAGTTCGTTTATAAATACTTCATACATCGTGTCTGACGAATTTTCATTGAAACTACGATATTATGATAGTTGTATTAATAATCCATATTGAAATAAATGTAAGTTGAACGATTTATCTTGATTTTTATGTGCAATAAAACAGAAATGATAAACTATGAAAAAAAGAAATTGAATCTCGACAATTATACGTGTAATATATTGAAAAATGATATGGAAAATAAAAAAATTGTTATTCGAGAAAATGAAATTATATACGATTATTTTACACGATAACTAAATAAAAGGCGACAGATAATAGAAAAAGTAATAACAACTGACAAAAGATATTAATTTATCAATTTAAATATTTCCGTTAATTTTTTACTGTAAAATATTTCATACGGAACAGAAAGTGAAATAAGCCTTCCCCCATTTACGTTTTGTACAATAACTTTGTTAATAATCAATTTTATTTGTTTTAAATTTATTTAAAATAAATAAAATGCATTATTATTACTATAAATTATAAATTTCCCATACCTATATTTTCAAAACTGAAATAGTCAATGGTTCTGAAATTTTTGCATAAAAAAATATCTATATATTTAATAGTCCTATTTATTAATCTTTAATATTATAGCAGTTTTTCGTTAACATCCTAAATGTGGTTTTGAGGAAATTAAAAGTAAAACTTAAATAGGATATATAATAATAAGAAATTAACTTGAAAGAACACGTATCGTTTCTAATTACAAATATCTCAGCTTCTGAATGGCCAATCGTTTTCTAATTGCGTAAATAATTAGATCCTATCCTAAGATATTAAGGCCAGTATTCATAGTCGGATTTTGTATATAAGACTGACTTAAGTTTATCATTTCCCGGTACGGCTCATTTCATAACGCATCTGAAGATGAATTCACGACGGTTTTATATGTAAGATCTGACTATGAATAGCGACCTAAGACCATTATACCTACAAGAGCCATAATACCACATTTTCCCCTACTCTCACTTAACAGACGATGATGTTCCCGATCACGTATAATCAGGCTCAAGTTAAGATTTTCCTTGTGCGTTGAACTAAATTTACTCTTAACTTCATCTGAATTTACGGTTAAGTTTAAGGTCAGTACTTAACGTATTACCGACGTTTCTGTGCGGAAGCCGTTACTCGCCACCGCCGAGGACAATCTCACGGTGCATCTTTCGCCGAGAAGTGAAAGAGGTGCCACCACATTCGTCGACGTAATATTTCGCGCACCGGCAAGCGGAACCGGAAACTAACCGGCAGGACAGAGCTGACGCAAGCCTCCGATTCAGTGCGCCTGGACTGCAGCATACCGCCAAGTGTCTGGGCGGCCTTGCTTCGTGCGA